ACAACAAAATACATTAACCCAATTTAAACTTCCCCTCATTTAATGTAGGTGCAAATAGATATTACTGCTCCAAGAGGGGGAAATAAACACTTCCAAGCCCTGAGTTAATTAAGCTTATCCAGTTTGTCTGCAATAGTGTCTAATATAGAATATATATGAATGTTTAATGAAACTTGCAATGCTAGGCCTACATGAAACAACGTATATCTCCTAGGGCAGAGGTTCCAAACACCGGGGTTGGCTGCTGGACTGGAAGTCCAGAAGTGGCTAGCATACTGTGGACCGGCAGCCAACCCTTTTTTATGCTCAATATAAAAAAGGGTTGGCTGCCAGTCCGCAGTTTCTTCAGTCTATGGTCACTTCCGGTCTGTGGTCTAAAAAGGTTGGGAACTACTGTCCTAGGGTGCCTGTATACCTGATCTGACACGTTGATTAGAATGCACTGGAGCAGATTCGATTAATTGAGTCTAATTATAATGCTGCAGTGTCTCATGTATTCAGCATCCTGTACTTCAGCACAGGAGCGGAGGCACTTTCACTAAAGCTTGTCCAACAAGCTTTAGTTCAAGTGCCCCCACCACCATTTTGAAACATAGGATACTGAATACACAAGATGCCGCAGCATTTAAATTAGAGCGGTTTGTGGTTCCCCCCCCACCTCCAAACATGTATAGGCACCCCTAAGCTAGAAGAAATACTGATCTAGATAAACCACAAAAAACTGGGAAGCTGAGAAATAAAACACACGCAAATAAAGGCAGTGCTTTCTTTAAAAAAAAGATGATGAAATAAGGTAGTATTTATTTAACGTGACTCTTGGACTTCCACTGAAGACAGTTCTTTCATAGGCATTAGAAAAGTACTTAAGGAGACCATTGCTTGTACACAGATAGCAGATCTCTCCATTAAACCGGAAGCCTACACAGAGCTCAAGGCAGGATTTGTACGATTCTTATGTTTTTTCCACCTGTTAAAAAGTGGTTCATAATTGCAAGTCATGCAGACCTTCAATTTCAACTAGTCAGCCTTTCTCCTCACTAAAAATCCGCCTAGACTGAAACAGATCTAAAAACCAGTGTACTGTATGAGGGACTAAGCAAACATTTGACAAAACTATATATATATTTTCTAGGCGCAAGCAATTCTACAAATTCACCGTTGTCAAGCAGCAAATCGATCCTGGGTAAGCTTTTTGAGAGAAATATCATAGTGCATGTCCGTGAGGGGCCAGTAGGGGAGATTATGCTTAGGGGCAACCAACACGGGTTCATTAGAGGCAGGTCCTGTCAGAACAACCTGGTGGCCTTCTATGACCAGGTCACAAAATACTAGACGCAGGGGTAGCAGCAGACGTAGTCTTTCTGGACTTCAGGAAGGCCTTCGACACTGTCTCTCACCCCATTCTCATTAAAAAACTAGGGGACTGTGGCGTTGACACCTACACAGTCAGATGGGTCACTAACTGGCTGGAGGGCCGTACCCAGAGAGTGGTGGTGGACGGGTCTTATTCAACCTGGAAGGATGTGGGCAGTGGGGTTCTGCAGGCCTCGGTCCTCGGGCATGCACTGTTCAACATCTTCATCAGTGACTTGGATGAGGGGGTAAAAAGCACCCTGTTCAAATTCGCAGACAACACTAAGATGTGGGGGGAAGCGGGCACGCTAGAAGGGAGGAATAGGCTGCAATCGGACCTAGACAGGTTACAGGGGTGGGCAGATGAGAACAGGATGGGTTTCAACACTGACAAGTGCAAGGTACTGCACCTGGGGAGGAAGAACCAGCAGCATACCTACAGGCTGGGGAACTCCTTTCTTGTCAGTGCAGAGGCAGAAAAGGATCTTGGGAGTCATTATTGATGCCAAAACGAACATGGGCCAACAGCGTGGGGACGCGGTCAGGAAGGCCAACTGCACCTTGTCATGCATCCACAGATGCAGGTCAAGCAGGTC